AGTAGTACTCGACAAGCATGCATGCAGCCTCCTTTCATCTGTATTGGTTATTTGAGGGCACACGAGTTAGGCTCGAGAAAGCTCGAGGCTCGAGCGAGCCGAGCTCGAGCCCATTTCTAAGCTTGTAGTTTAAACAGGCTCGACTCGAGCTCGGCTCAAGTTGGTGCCGAGCTCGAGCCTATATAGGTAAGCTCGCTTGAGCTCGGCTCGTTGACAGCCCTACGAGCAAGTAGTAAAAAAATCAACACGATGGAGAGAGGAGCATGTGTGTGTGTTCTCTCTTACTTTTCACCGCTGCATGCAATGTATTTAGATAGAAAATTAAATTTTCGTCTCTCCACGCAAGGAAGTAAAATCTCTACTACTTAAAAAATACGAAACGTTTCCTTCATCCGTCAAAATAAAATAAATAGCGAAAAAAAACTATCTAAACTAAAAAGTCCGATTCCCAGAAGATGTGGCAAAAAATAAAAAAAAAATACACCCTTAAAAAATCCGATTCCGAGAAGAAGTGGCAAAAAATAAAAAAAAAACGTAGAAGTCCAATTCCCAGGGGTAGCGAAAAAACAAAAAAAAAACGTAATTCCCCTTAAAAAGGGGAAAACAAAAAAAAATCGGAGAAAAATAGCGAAAAATCTTTAAAAAAAATCCGATTCCCCCTATAAAAGGTGAAAAAACCAAAATAAATCTGTAGATCCGATTCAAAATACAAAATGTTTCCTTCGTCAGTCAAAATAAAATAAATAGCAAAAAAAACAACCTAAACTAAGTCCGATTCCCATAAGATGTGGCAAAAAAATTTTAAAAAATACACCCTTAAAAAATCCAATTCTGAGAAGAAGTGGCAAAAAAAATTAAAAAAAAATAGAAGTCCGATTCGCAGGAGAAGTAGCAAAAAAACAAAAAAAAAAACGTAGATCCGATTCCCCAAAAAAATGGGGAAAACAAAAAAAATCGGAGAAAAATCTAAAAAAAATCCGATTCCCCCGATAAAAGGTGAAAAAAACCAAAAAATCAAAAAAAAAAAGGCGAAAAAAATCATAGATCCGATTCCCCTTAAAAACAAATGGGAAGAACAAAAAAAAATATGATTCCTATGAAAGGCAAAAAAACAAAAAAAAATCCAAAAAATTAGGTAAAACATTAAAAGAGTTGCGAAATAACGGTTCGTAAAAAATAAAAAAACACGCGAGACTGTATATATCTTTTCTCTATCTCTAATCAAATCAAATCTAACTATATAAAAGAGAAGTTTTCATCGTACAACTAAAAATAAAAAAATACGCGATAAAATAAAAACGGTTTTAAAAAGTGTAAGAAAAAAAAAAGCAAAAAACGCGTGAGAAAATAAGTTAGAAAAAAGCGCAAAGAAAGGATTCCGTCGTCCTAAAAAATAAAAAAACACGCGAGGAAAAATATTTCCATCGTCCGTAAAAAATAAAAAAATGCATGCGAGGAAAAAATTGTAAGAAAAAACTGTGCAGGAAAAAAACGTTTATAAAAAAACAAGCTGCTCTAAAAAAATGTCAAAAAAAAAACTAAATTGATGGACGCTTGGGTCGGATAGAATCCTTCAATTTTTTTTCCATCTCCTACACGACTTTTATTTCGTCATTTATGCTCCTATATTAGAAAAAAGCAAAAAAAAAACACTCGAGAAAAAACAAGCAAGAAAAATGCGCGAGAAAAAAATGTCAGAAAAAACAGGCAAAAGAACACACGAGAAAAGAAGGCAAAAAAAACACGAGAAAAATACGGTTTTCATCGTCTGTAAAAAACAGAAAAACAAACGTGCTAGGAAAGAAATTTCAGAAAGAAATGCAACGTTTGTGAAAATGGTTTGAGAAAATTGCGCAAGAAAAAAACACCGTTTATTGAAAAAAAGCCACTCTGAAAAAACTATTAGAAAAAAACACTGTTTATAACGAAGCCAAATCTAAAAAACAATCGGATTCAATGCGAGAAAAAGCCGTTGTTTCTACAAGTGGTTCGAGAAAACCGTCCGACTCAACGCGAGAGAAAAACCACCTTTTCTAAAAAAAAAAGGCTAGAGAGAACCAATCCGACTCAACATGAGAAAAAAAATACTGTTTATAATAAGAACCGCTCTGGAAAACCGTCCAACTCAACGCGAGATAAAATTGATGGACGCTTGGGTTGGATAGGATCCATCGATTTTTTTCCATCTCCTACACGACTTTTGTTTCATCATCTATTCTCCTGTATTGTAGATCTTGCACATCTCTATATGCAATTATCAGACTATTTTTGTTAAGTATAGCTACTATTCTTGATAACATATGATATGGAAATATTATTAAAAAAATAAACATATTTTTAATTGTTAGTATTTAGAGAAGAGTGCACAGTGACTCTGTTTTGTATAGATTTGACCCTGCGATGCAGTGTAGGATTTGATTTGATTTGATGTTGTCATATGAATAATCTAATTATTTAGGTAAACAAGCATCGGTATGGTTGACATCGTTGAGGTTGGGCCATTAGATTGAAGATGTTCCAATTTTCTGAATGTCTTAGCAATAAATGATCCATACAAACATTTGCATTGACACGGTTATGCATGATAAAATGTATATTATCATTATAATTTTTCACCCGTTGCAACGCACGGGCATTTTTGCTAGTAAAATAAAATGTACGGACATGCCTGTGTACTAGGTAAAAAAAATAAAATGGACATAGAAAAATGCATTTTGTTATAATTCTTAAAGAATTACAATAATACAAAATCCTTAGTGTGCGCTCCACGGCCTATAGGCAAGGTGGATCTGACTTGACAATTATGTTTACCAGGTTCCCGTGGTTTCGGAAGACACCAGGTCAATTATACCTCCGATTAAGCTACGCTGGTCATCGTTGTCGGTCTTCGCTTCATGTTCTGCCATGCATGATTGTGATGGTGGTGATAGTGTAGATGTATGTGGGCGCCATGAAGAGGTCTTCAGCGAGAGCATGAATGACATCGGTGGTAGCGTTGAGCCTGAGAGTATTCTTCCTTTACTTAAGTCTATATTTCCTCCCAACTTTGACGGTTTATCACCTACATTCAAATATACACCAACACTCCTGGAATATGTTAGAATTAAACCCTACTACTATGTTGGATGTTTCATTAATTATGTTTTATGCAGGTATTGGCGGCATAGAATTAGCATTTAACAGCCGTCAACAGAGGTACGACTACAACTGGTCTTCAACCAGCGGCGTAGAGATTCACCCACTACCTCTGCGATTTGTTGAGAACAACTACACATCTGGTCTTTGCCCAGTGTGGTGGTCGTCTCATTATCCCATGTGCGTCAACTTCTGTAAGTATTTATATGTGCAAAATTTGTTCGTTGATCCCCTTTTCTTATATCGTCGTGTCTTGAAGTCGATCATATTGTTCCTTTACGCTATTCTGACAGCCTCCAAGAAACATAAGGGGATTTCGTCTAGGGACGCGCGCCCAGAGCTGATAAGTCCTTGTCAGATGCTTCAGAGCCAAACGACCATGTCATATCTGGTAGAGTGCTCCGTAGATGCATATTAACTGAGCCATGGATTCGTCAGCTTCAGCTTGGTTTGTTATAAGATTTAAGCTGCCTTTTGGAAAATGACTTTTCCATAAAGCCAACTAAGGGTAGCTTTGGCGAGAGTACTCTTTTATCGTCACATGCAGATTCAATTTATTTTCAATTTTTAAATTCATATTATATTGTGTTACCCTTGAGCGTTCGCTCGGGGGCTATTTCAATCTAACAATCTGTTCTGAGTATTGATTTTAGGAAAGTCAGATATCAGAACAGTTAAGTCAGATTTTAGGGCTTTGTTGCAGACTCTACAACTACTCGATTATCCAAGAATGGTTGGTGGATTACAGAATAAAGCGATTGTGTATCTGCCGAAACAAAATTCCTTATGTTCAATCCAAATTCTCGATTACGATAAAACAAGGAATTTAGTCGCATACTCCGCATTTTCTCGGTCGTCTGAGAATGATTAAATGAGCACAACAACTGTTATTCCAAGGTATTCGATCGAGATCATCAACTCGTTCATTTGCATTGAAGTCGGGGCTACTGTCAGGGTTATAGATAACACATACCCAATAGTAATCGACTAAGCTCGGCGGGGCCTACCATATACCAAGTCTTATATGGAATCATACCTCGTATATATAAAAGGAGTTCTGGATAAGGAATGACAAGTACAGTTCTACGTGGAAACAATAAGGACTACTCAGATTGTTTCTATATTGGTCTCCCTAGTTCTACTTGGACAAGGGGACATATATGGGTATAAATACAAGACCCCTAGGAAGAGAGGGGGAAAAATAGTCAGAATAGACACGAATACATGCCACCAAACATCAATATCAAAGATTAACCTAGACAAACCCAATCTGGCGCCTACATAGGCCAACAAGAGGGATCTAGCGCTATCTTTGATCTCACCGAGTATGTATTCGAGGAGGAAGACTACCCCGTCGTCGACTACGTGTTGGTGTTTCATGCCGCCAAGTCGACGACACAACTAGATAGGTTATCTCAAATATTGTACTTGTGTGATTCTGATGAATAAGAGCTACACCGGCTTCGGCCAACATGAGTAGGGCTATTACCTGATTCTGATGTATAAGGGGCCTGAACCTGTATAAAAATCCTTGTCTCTGGCTCTTTTACCTCAATCTCGTATATACTCTGGTACCAACGATCCCCATACCATGCAAATACCGTAGTCGTGATCTAAAACGTCGACAATACTATATCTATTTATTTCTAATTTACAATTATAAATGATGTGGTGGCAGCAGTGATGCACGCCCGCAAGAGACGAATCGTTTGCAAGAAAAAGGACCCTAGCCGAAAGAAGCTCAAAAAAACAAAAAGGAAAAAAGAAAATCAAAGGTCGCCCACAATCTTTAATCCCTCCCCGTCCCCACTCTCCACCAACCCACCACTCCTCGTTCCAATCTCGAATCCTTCGAGCAAGCAGCCTCCGGTTCGCTACCTCCACCTCTGCCTCTGCCATGCCTTCGCCTTCTTCTTTCCTCCTCATCTCATCCTCCGCCTCGAGCGCACCCTCTCTCCTGCTCGTTGTGCCGTTGCTCGACTCACACGCGCCGCTCGGCCGCATGCACCGCATCATGCTCAATGCCACGACCACATCACGCCAGCCACCCACTGTGCATCTCGCCTTATCCCCGCGCCGGCGCTAGGCGAATCGCAATGATGACGGCAAGGAGGACGAGAAGGCGGCAGCAATGTCCATGGTGATAGTGGATCTGGTAGAGTGGCCATGGCGACGGTGGATCTGGAGGAGGACGCAGCTAGCAAGACAGAGGCTGGCGATGGGTGGATTGGTGGAGGGCACCAAGCAATGCGAAGGCTGGCGACGACCACATCTTTTGTGGATCTTGTTGTAGGTGGCGGCAGAGGAAGGCGCAGGCGGCAATGGTGTGACCACGACATCAAGTGGTCCAACACTGTTCATCTTTAATTGGGGCTAGCTGCCATCGGTCTAGTGCTGGGCTTGAAGGAGATCAAGTTTAAGGTGGATCCTTTACTGATTTTATTTGGGTGAAATCTGGTTCTTGTTTTTGCCTTATGGTTGTATCGAACTATCAAAGTCTGATTTTGGTAAGTGCTTCCATGAGATTAGATTATTGTCAAGATTTTGTTGTTATGGGTTACCGGCTATAACTTGGTTTTTCTAGTCTCCGATTGGAAGAATCGGACATTGATGACACAAATGCGCATACAAAACGGATTACAAACGAAATTTTTTGGTGACGAACGGAAAATTACTAGTCTTTTAAGTAATTAAGATAAGATATAGGTATAGACGAGGACAGGACAAAGTGTTACAACGGACAAAATGTAGACATACTGCACATGATATATAGGCTCATATTTGTTCTGTTTGGGAATTTCAGAATTCAGATTGAGCACAATAAGCTCATCTTCTATTCGGCTTGGTGGCATGGCCTAGTACCACATAGGTACAAGGGTATTTGCGTAACAAAAATCCGGTACCTAGTTATCGTATCTGCAATAGTACTCCCTTCTTCGCAAATTGATTATCATATAATAAAATCCAAAATTTATCAAATTGATTATCATATAACCGTATAGACATGGATTTCATCGAAATATAATTAATGTCGTAGGAGATAATGTGCGCATGCTAAGAGTGTAATTGGCATGGTGTTTTACTTGAATGAGGGCATGGTGTCATGATTGATGCGATTTAAATTACTTTTGCTCTTGGTGCATAAATATATATGATAATCAATTTGGAATGGAGGGAGTAGCTCTTTTATATTAATTTGAGCGTTCAGATAATATCACGAGTGAAATATATTTTTTAATTCAGTGGAATACAGGTGAGGTGGTGTTTATAAATGCATCGGCTATGATCTTGTACGCCCTTTCCGATGGATGGACAGCATCAAAGAATACATATTTATCAGCATCGTCGCATGCCAACGCATCGTCCAAGGCACATAGAATTCCTGTCTCCACAAATCCCGTGCCACAACATCCTTGCATTGAGTTCCCAAAACCTGATTTGATCACAAGAAAAAAATATAATTCGGAGTGGATTAGATAATTTAAATTTTTAGGATCATACGTTTAATCATGGAGAATAGGATTACATAACTTATATGCTCCCTTCAATCATAAATATTTGACTTTTAAAATAAGATTTTATCAAACATTTAAAACTTTGATCATAATTAATTTCTCAAAACTTAGTTTTAAAATAACAAATTAAAATGGCATGCATAGATTTTCTTTTAAGATTACTATCATAAGACCCTAAATTTATTTAATACAAAATATATAGTCAAAATTTCCAAATTTTGATCAACGATCTCATGGTTGGTTTCTGGCTAAGTAAGGATACATAAAATTGTTTTGCGTAGGACCATTAGATTTTAGTCTTAGCGAATTAAATAAAGCCAATGCTAAAAAACATTGATAAAAGTACATTAAATAATTTAACATTAAGTTTAAAATTTTAACTTTTGCTTGTGGCTTATAAACCAACAAGCAAACAGTGAGGTTAAATATTATGACAAATGTCAAATATTTATAACCAAATTTCATTGACACGAAGAACGGGTTACATGCCTAGGCACACTTGAGTATCTTGTGTACAACCCATAGAGACACCCGGAGACACAATGCCACAGGGTTAGGTACTACTGAACGATCACTCGAGACCGATAGAGAACCTGTCATCGTGAACACACACCAGTTTGACTTAGACTCGGTGGATAGCTAGGACAACCTCTAACGCCATAGAGACGAGAGAGACAACGAGTAATTAGGGGATATATTGGAGGATGAATAGACATAGGATGCCAGAAGAAAGGAGGGATATGTAGATGACAGAGGTATAGATAATAGACTGATTTTGACGATTGATTGTTGGTTGATCGAGCTTGGCTCCTATTTTATATATATAGGAGGGATGGTGTTGCACCTAAAGGATCTTCTCCACATCCGATTGGGCTTATGAAGGTGTTACGGAAGTGTTAAGACTCGGGAAACTTAGATACAATCTCGAAGTAGGTTTAATATATCCAAAAGGTTCTGAATACAATTAACAATCTCGAACTAGGTTCAATACTGGGTACTGAACTACTGACCAAAATTTAATATGAAGCGAAGTGCATTACTGGGTACTGACCATATTCCCATGGCTTGGCAATGATGGCAGAGAGGATGCTGTACTGATCAACATACTCTACTTGTGCCCCTGGCAGCTCCCAGTTGAGCCTCCCAATAAGCCTCTTGAGCCTTGCGTTGAAGCTCAGAGCCACCATGTTGTACATCTCGTTGCAATCCCCAGGCCTGTCCGGGTTGATCGTCCTCTCCACCGGCAGGCACCCCAGCGGTGGCAGCCCGGCGAGCTTCACCCGGCGGCCGCCGAGCCCGTGCACGGCGCGCACCGCCCCGGCGGCGGCGCCGGCGAGGTAGGCCTCGTAGCGCGGCAGGGTGAAGCGGTTGCCCCTGATGGGGAAGACGAGGTAGTTGTGCAGGAAGTCGCTGGTGCCGACGCTCAAAATGTAGAGCGCCTGGCTTATGATGTGGTGTGCCGCTGCCTCGCCTTTGGCCCACCTCAGCTTCTCCTTGTACTGCCTGAAGTGGTCTATCTGCTGACTCAGGGTCATTGCTGACTGCAAATTAGTAAAACAAATGACAAGTACTGCATTAGGTTATGGTCTTGTCATAATGAGTGCATGCATGCATGCATGGGTTTGTTAGTTAGTCCAAGTTATGGTTCAATTAATTCTCGTGTACTCCCACCGTTCCATAAACAACAAACTTATTTCCTGGAGGAGTATTAGTATTTGGTTCTACACAGGGCCACCTAACTGCAGTTCGATCAGTCTACTGCCTGACACTGCTAAGTATTTCCTCCATTGTATTTTCTAGGCTGTTAATTGGGCAAGAATTAAGATAAGATAATATCATATCTCTTCTCTACTAGTATAAAAGTTTAACATGTTTTTGTCAAAAAAAGATTCTCAAGGCCAGTCTAAAATCTATTACTGTTCACTTATCAAAAATCTCTACTCTTCGCTTGTTCTACTCTTCGCTTGTTCCAAGAGAAGAAAAAAGAAAAGGTATTACAGGTACCGGATAGAGGACAGCGAGCGAGCTGACATCCGGCCAGGCCTACATGGGCCACGATCTAGATAATGTTTTCTTTTTACCAGAAAGGTAACGTGTAATGACCAACTATAATCTCTACTATTATAAAAATTGAAGATATTTTTATCGGTATTTTGGTATGTCATTCGTATATGAGTCAGCTTTTAAGTTCGTTTGCTTTTAGCAATACATATCCGTATTTGAGTCGGTTGTTAATTTCGTTGGCTCTTAGTAATACAGAAGGAAACATATAAGAAATCCGTTTAAAAAAAACTTGCATGCTAACTTGAGACGATCAACCTCAACTGCAGTTTATGATTTTCTAAAAAATATATACATATATCAAAGCGAATTTCCACATCTTAATTAAACTATATAACAATAATAAGATTAAAATAGACTTCACCCGTTACAACGTTCGGTCATTTTTTTTCTAAGTCATTAATCAAATTTTAAATTTTGAATCGGTTAGATTTTCTTCATATACTTCTGATTGGTTGAAAGTATACAAATTTGCCATTGGAATCAGTGCCACAGAAATACGTGGCACCAATCTTGATTCCTAAAAATATTTATACTTTAGAATGGTGGGAGTATTAATTTGTGCACTAAACAAGGTTCCCAGGTTCAGTTTCTTGCTTTTGGATAGGCCATGAAGCATAGTTACTTAATTGTCTCGAGACTTTTGCAGTATTCTTCTAATTAATATTTCATATTCCCTTTATTTGTCGCAAATTAAAATAACTAAGTGGCAGTGGATTTTGCGGTTATCAGTTTTCTCAACTTATTACAAGTATAATGTGGCAAATTTGTCAACAACTGATATGGTTTTTTCTATCGTACGCCAGGTATAAGATATGGTTTTTTCCTTATTCAATGCACAGTTCACGATTTAGTACAAACATAAATTTATTTAATAAAGCTTCTGATTTCAAATAATTTTTTTCTCTAAACTATGAAGACAGAATTATTTTTTACATTTACTTTGTACATTTCAAAATAATTTACAACTTTTAAATTGTCCTTGATTATTCCTATTACATATACTACCAAATATTATTTTCACTGTCAATTAAAAAACATATTTTATGCACTATATTTACTGAATCATAGAAATTTTTAACGTTTTATTGAATTTTTTTAAAAAAAACGTTAATCGACTGATGGTAACCGCGAGCTGTAATTAGTATAAAGCAGACGGTACTATTAAACTTCTAAAAAAATATACTTTATTTACTACTAGTTTGTTTTCTCGATAATTGAATTTAATCATTGACGTTAAGGACAATTTAAATCTTGGTGGGTAGAATTATAATGCATTTACTAATAATTATCATCGCGTCATCGGGGATAGATCTAGGAAGTAATTGAATGAACAAAATAGATAAAAGAAATATACACATAGAAGAAAATACAACCAAACTCCAACAACATTTAAAAAAAAAGGCAAAATTGTTTAAGGAGCAAATCCCCCCAGTTGAGACGTTGCGTTGTTCTTTACTCGATCTGCTCAAGAGGGAAGGAGAGGTATATAAGGGCGAGGTCAAATGTGTCGTTCTTATTTAGAATTGGCACCTATGTCTGATAGCTTAAAATGGTGTCACTTTTAAAATGGGTTCTCCAATGATTATTTCGATTTGGTAAAAGGTGAGCCCACTCGAAGAAGTCGTTTGTTAATAAAAACTGGTTGTGCCGGTTTCTATTAACAACCGTCACATAGATGCCGGTTATCTCCAATGGTGTCCCGCGGCGGCACGCGAGAAAAACAATGTTTCTAGAATTTTCTACACATACAGTGTCACCCTTTTTTTATTGTAATAGTGAACAACACTTCCCTGTTATTAATTAGTTTGTTGGCTGATCAATGTTTATACATTTTTTTTTTGGAAAAAAAAAAGACTTTCACCCTGAAAGAGCTGGAAAGTATAAAAGGCTAGTATATATTATACCCCGTACTATATACTCACTAGGATTTGTGCAGTGATGTTGTCTAGGCCCGTTCCGGCGGAGGCGAAGCTGACGCCCGACGCGAGCTGGTGGATGCTGTGGCTGGGGTCAAGGTACGGCGGCACGGCGGGCGGCAGCCCCAGCGCCTCGGAGACGAAGTCGGCGGCGAGCCGGCCGTTGGAGAACCGGCCGGTGGCCACGCCGCCGGCGAAGTCCCGCCCGTACGGCGGGTAGTTGCCCCTCGCCATGGTCTGGATGAAGTTGTTGTTGCCCGTGTCCGCCGTGGAGTCGCCGAACACGATCACCGCCGGGACGCCCCCGCCGCCGCCGGCAACATGGCATAGCAGGACGTGCGCGATCACCACCACCACCACCACGGCTTTCATGCCATGTCGTCGCGACGACATCTTAATTAGTACTCCCAAATTAATTTTTCTCTATTTTCGTTCTGGGATTCGTCACTGGCTACGTGCAAGTATTTATAGTGTCGTCGCCGCGAGCGACAAGGGCACGCGAACGATGAGCCGGGCTTGTTGTTCATCCGTCTCCGAGGCGTTTGCTTGCTCTACATGCCCCTAGCTGCAAAATTTTGGTAAGTTCTAGTACAGATTACTTTTTATCTAATCCGATTTCATGATGCCCAGAAGATTGCATGCATGCATATTGATCAATCTTCTGTGTTAGGTTAATTAATTATGTGGCCGAGCATGAGCATGCATGGTAGCCAGAACAGTGACCATAGACGGTAGTAGTACGTAGTAGTGGGTAGACCATCTGATGATGCTACAGCAACCGATTTTTAGTTATTGGTATTGATCCACTGATTTCGGTGGATCATTCAATGTGCGAGCTAGCGAATCAGATCGTCTACGCTTAATTAGACGTACTTCATCAGCGCCGCGTTGTAACTTAAAGGTCGAGCTGATCTTTCATTACTAGGTCCTGCTATAAGTTAATTTAGCAAATGTGCACTTCTTTTGAGTTTTGACGCTAGACAGGCTCTTGTCGTCAATAACTTCATTTACGGTCGTTGTTTCACCTTCATGTTCTTCAATTGCAGGTGGAGCAAGGAATGTGAATGGAGGCTGGTAAATGCCAGGACAAAAGCTAGCATACAAACCTTGCCCAGTTTCATTTTACAAGGAAGAATTATAATGTTTACAGCTGCCACACAAAAGCTGACTATCCTTACAAACATACAGGCGCGTGGCAAAGTTTCAACACAAATTGTAGATCCTCGGAAAACTTCGTTCAGCTCTTTGCACCGTGTATGATCGCCCGGACAAAGTCTTCACATGTAGTGTGGCCACCGGAGAACACATCTGGCAACGCACCCATGACATCGAAGGCCTCCTGCAAGTCCTCAGATGAGGTCATGTCTTCGAGCCATGAGAGCACGTCTTTGGAGAATCCTAGCATCTCCTTCATGTTCCCCAGCTTTTCTTTCATCATAATCTCCCAAGCTTCGAGGTTACCACCACTTGATCCGTCCTTCTCACCGACCTTTTGCGTGCCAGACGATTTGCCTTTCTTGAAAAATTGCTGCAGCTGCTCAATCAAACCAGTGTACACCAGCATCGGCTGGACAATGGCAAAGAGCCTCTTGCTGTCGTTTGAATCGGCGGATGAACCTTCATCTGATCGGACTGCAGAGGAAGACGTGTCGGCAGAAAGCTTGAGGGTGGATCGTCCATGCTTGTGTTGCATGTAAGCATGGTAGATGCCCCTCTGCAGGAAAGCGGGGCGGTGCTGCAGCCAACTCTCATAGGACTCAGACAGCAGAGAATTGACCATCATGAACTGTACAGTCTCCTCCGAGGAACCTGAACCACCACGAGCTCCAGATAGAGCTGAAAGTCGAACAGGAGATTCTGGAGTTGAAGGCGAAGAGGACAAGTACGAGGTAACAGCCTTGGCCATGACATGACGCTGCTGGTTGGCACTTCCATCTACAAGATGAGAAGCCATTTGGATCATGAAAGGAAGAAACCGCGAGTTGCTCTCCCTACCCCCACCTTTGCAGTCAGTGCTGAAAGAAGCGCCTGTTGCAAACCTGGCCAACATCTAGTGAAAACAAATGAAGTTTGATTAGTTTTGTATGTGCAAGAGGAATGTACAATGATTACCTATGAAGGAAAATGCCATAACAACAAAATGAAATTGACAGGTCCGATTTGCTGCTCTCAAGTTACCTCGTCACACCAAATAAACAAGAATTGAATGCCATCAAGTATCAACCAGTTTTGCCTCCATACAAGGCAATGGCATTTAGGCTAAAATTGGAATCATATCAGAGAATAATATGCCCTACAGCATGCATTCTATACAAAGCATAAAAGGAAGACCATAAATTACAGATATTTCAGCTTTTGTTGTCAGTAATGAAGCAAAACATGTCACTTTGATGACAAATTTATCTTTGATTTTCACGAAGACATTAGAGTTATTTTGTTAGCCAGGCATAAAGAATTTTAGAGTTTTGCTGTTGTCATAAATATGTTCCAGATGGCATCCCCCACAGTTCTCAGCAAAAAATAAAATAAAGCAAAAGCTCCAACGAAACATAAGAAACTAGAAAATGCACTTTGTAGGGATGTAATAATGGCAGAATGAATGAAATGGAATTCCATACAATGTATACACGAGGAAATAAGACGAAGTCACTGCCACGTACCAGAACAATGTCATATGTTAACAAGCGAAGGCGACTTCCATCTGCTCGTCCTAGAGAATTCAATTGGTCCCAATACTGGTCGAGACATCGTGTGTACTGCCCAGGAGGAACAGATGGCCCCCTCAAGGGAAAGATACAATTACACAGTGTCTCATTATTTCTCAGGGTAGCACCATCCCATTCCTTTTTAGGATTCTTCAGTGCAGCATCAGCTCTTTTAGCCTCCTGATGACATTGGTAGTGTATGATGTTGAAGTGGCTAACAGTAGTGTAAACACAGTCCCCACGGCCACTGCCTGAACTAGTGGCACCCAAGTTCACCCGTTTACTAAATGCATAGACTCCTAACATGTCAGTCGGCCTCAAAGTATACCCTTCTCTACAAACCATGCATGCTAACCCATCCTCTTCTTCTTCCACATCATCCAAGCCTTCAATTATAGGCTGAGACACAACAATACGTCTACCTCCATCAGAAGCAAATTCTTGTCGCATTCCTAGCCCCTGGTATACAAAAAGAAGGTAGCAAAACATATTAATTTGTGCACATGCAGAACAGGAGATCAAACACTTATACAAGAGTACAAGACTCTGCAAATAATGAATGAAACCATAATGGCAACAGTTACCTGGAGTAGCATTTCTCTTTTCTTGAGAGCACGGCGTCGCATTTCATCCCTTGTAGCATGTCGGAGCTCTTGAATCTTCTCTGCCAAGAAGCCATCACCATTATTTTCTTTGTTGGCAAGGGTATCCAAAAGATTTTCTGCTCTTGCACCAATTTCATTTTCACCAGGCACTCCTTCTAAAGCATGCAGCAATGGCAGAATATCTTCTTCATCGACACACTTTTGTGTAGGCAGATCACCCTTGGCGAGCCCCTTCAACATTGAGAGGATGAGTGGAATGGAAGGCAGTTTTAACCCAACTGTCCATTCTGCACTAGTCCTAAAGCTAGCCTGCCCTGCAGAAGCAAAGCTTTCCCTCAGATGACCTACAGCTGCTTTTGTAATGCCCTTCTCTAGAATAATCTCCTTCAGCCTTTCACCGCAAGAACTTGTCTTGAGTGACTCTGAGACTCGAACAAAGTTTTCAACAGCAGACCTCTGCATTGATGCGTTTTTGCTTAAAGTTTCATCTTTTGGATTTTCCTCGTGTTGTTTCTGCAACTGGTCAAACTCACTCCAGTTCATAAGGTAGGGCTCAAAATGCAAAACAAGGGCCTCCATGGCTGCTGGCTCCCCATACGTCAAGTTAGGTAAGATCCTTGCCACCATCTCCTCGTTTCTTTGTTGCTTGTTTGATTTTTTGGCACCATCAGGAGGGCACAGCCTCTCAAGAAACATGAGAACAATTTTCTTTGCCTCCTCACCAGCACCAGTCTCCTCAGTAGTAGTTGTAAAAACACTTTGGGCAATACTTATGTCACTCTCATTAGCTTCCATTGTAAGACTTTCTACAATTAATAGAATACCCTCAGCTGGCTCCATCGCATCTACTGAGAATGCACGTCTGGCTGTCTCAAGTAGCAAACCCAATGCACCCAGGCGTAATAAAGCACATCTATTTTCACGAATTTTGCAACAATACTTCAGAAGGTTAAGGACTGAACCCAATTCTTCCTGGTTTGATCTTAACTCATCTTCGCGTAGGCTCTGAAGAAAAAAGGATTTTGAGGGCATAATTAGATTGTCAAGCCTCATTAACAATAGAAGGATTAGATCAGAAAATTCAAATATGAATCCCAACTAAACACAATATAAGCCTAAATTATAAAATATTATTAGTACTTAATTGTTCTCAAATTTATAACTTAGCATGATCATATAAGACCAACTGACCACCTACGTAAAATAATATTCAAAGATATAATATTTTTTCAGAAATATCTTACAAATTATTAAAAATGTGCCTGCATATATAAATCTGTACAGATTAATTGATCGTAACATGTTACACGGGCAACAAAAAAAAGACCGATATCTTAACATTATTACCTGAATCATGCTTAATATAATTTCAAGGCCTCCACATTCCCTTACAGCACCTGCTATAGCAAACTCAACTTCAGGATCTTGTGATTCCTCCCTTTCATCTTCTAACTCTTTAATCATAGGTTCAGTAGCTTCACCATCTAATCCCTGATATGAAAATAAACATTCTCTTTCAACACAGATAGACCAGAAAAGAGGCAGAAAATCACACAAATCACCCAAACACTGTCAGACAGCCTCACAATATGCTTCATCAATAAATATACGATGGGACCCTAGAATTCAGATGCACTGTGCACTAGGTATGAATAATTATGTTGGGAGAGATTTCTTTCAACAATGGAGATAATAATCCAAGGCAGCACAATTTTCTTTATAGTTGTAAAAGCTAACACAAGACGGAACAAATTTACATTCTTCGTTTGTGTAAAAACTAAGAACAAATTTACTGAGTATAGTGCATTTCCGATTATAGTGTTACTTTAGGTGAGTGTTGAATAAAATATACCTAGCAGTTACTGCTATTCAATATTAATGAGTACATGCTAGGTCAATGAATCCCCTTCCTTTTATTGCACTTGAGAAGGAAAAATGACCAAAATGCCTTCCAGTAATATTTCGTGTATGCAAAACAAGGTAGAAAGAGGTGGAAGAAATATACTGTTTGTAGGGATATTTTAGGGAAGTTTACCTAGAAAAATGTGAGATGCAAAGTATATGCTGAAGGAAACTATGGTCAATAATGCCAAGTAAACACAAATAGAGGGAGTAATAATTTGTTTGTAGCCAAGGACCAGCATTAGAAACAACTAGGATGATATTGAAATTATCCAAACTACCGATGTGCAAACGAATTGAAGGCACTGAAATCGAAGTATAGTCCTCATAACTAACCTGCAATCTGTAAGTGACTGTCATTGGCGGACAATCTCTGACAGATGAAGCAGCAGCAGACAGTTGGCTAGCATTGGACAAAGAATGTTGAGTTTGACCATGGTGCTTTCTCCATACTTGCTCATAGACTTGGGAGATGCTAAGGTCAAGTGAAATTATATTCCCAGCGACCAGTAACTCCATACCATAGTCATCTTCTAAAAGACCAATCAAATCAAGTTGATGGCATATTTTATTTTTCACATCTCTCATCAGTGGGCCAATCTCAGCACTGGAGTATGGATTCCTTGTCATAGAGCC